GATTAAAAATTATATTATTTAGATGTCCATTCACTTGAGAACAAAGGAAACGAGGATATTCATCAATCTCATTTTATGGAATTACAAAAGATCCAGAAACTAACAAGTGTATGATGGTTTTAGATTATCTAAAAGGAGGAAATCTTAGAAATTATAGAAATTATTTAAATAATAATTTTAATAGTATTGGTTGGTCTAATAAATTATTTGATTTAAGAGATTTAACATTTAATTTTAAAGAAATTCATGAATTAAATATAGTACATCACGATTTTCACCCTGGAAATATTTTATCATCTAATTTTAAATTATTCAATTTATATATTTCAGATTTTGGGTTAAGCGAATTCATTGAGAAAAGTGAAGAAAATTCCCAAAAGAGAAGTGTTTTTGGAGTATTGCCCTATATAGCTCCTGAAGTATTATGTGGGAAGGAAATACAAAGACTGCTGATGTTTATTCATTTGCAATTATTGCTTATGAAATTATTACTGATTTTTAACCGTATTCTGATGTGTCACATTATAATGAGTTAGCTTTGAAAATATGTAATGAATTGCGACCAAAAATTCCATTTCATGCTCCCAAATTAATTACACAAGTGATTATGCGATGTTGGGATGCTCGAATTACCTGTCGACCCACTTTTAAAGAATTATATAATGAGTTGGATACATACTATAATGATTATTTTAAAAATACTAGTGAAATTGCAATTCAAATTAAAGAAGCTGAAGAGTTTTCTAAAAATCAAACAGCAACTAAAATTTCACTTAATTATAAAACACATCCACAAGCAATTTATACTAGTAGACTTCTAAAATTTTCAAATCTTCCAAAACCTATAAATGAACCTAATTTTGAAAAAGAGCTTATAGAACTAACAGAATCTTTTTCTCATATAATTACTAGTAAGTATCAATAATATATTTTATTTTATTTATTTCATTTATAATAAATAAAAAATAATTTAATTAATCATTTTTATTTAGATGATGATATTGAAGATTTTTAAATAAATATTATTATAAAAGTAATTTTGCTTAAATTAGATTAATTTAGTTTGGAGTCAAGAGATAATTTATATTTTATAAATTCTTCACATTAAATATATAACATAAATTATCATATTTGGATGAATTAAATAACTTAATTTTATACTTATTTTATCATGCAATAAAAATCAATTATCAATGATATTTTATCATATGAATTTTTTTAGAAGTCTAGTTAATATAATTTTTAATTAATTTATTAATTAAAATTTAATAAGTATCTTTATCCTAATATTACTTGAAATTTTATATAAATAAAAAATCTATTAGATATTTCTTATTTCAACACAAATATATCCCCATTAAAATTGTATTATTACTAAAAATAATGGAATTTTATCTAAGAATACAACTAAAAATATTTAAACCATTTAAATGATTTCAATGCATTAAGAAAATATTAATAGATGCTTATATCAACAAATAATAAAAAATAAAAATAAAAAAATCGTATATATTTTAAAAAATCTTAAAGTAATGAAAAATTTTTTTTGCAGATAATGAGATCATGAAGTAACTAACTCCATGTATTAAAAGTATTCATTATTGGTAAAATTCTACATTTGAAGAGTCAAAGGTATTCGTTGTTGAGAAATATAAAATGTTAAAATTTGGTGCTCGTAATTATTATGCAACAAAAAAATTTAATATTGTATAAAAGCAACTATTGTAATTATATAAAGAATTTATCTAATGCAGAGTTATAAAAATATTTTAAAGACAATTAATTATTGTTTGTGATAAATTACATTATTATTGTAAATAATTAGGAGTTAATGTCTCTGGTATTCATTGATGAGTTACATATAATATATACTTACATAAGAGGAACCTGCCACCTTCCATGACATGAAGATATAAATAAATTCACAGTAAATTCTTTTTCTTTAATTTCCTTGTGTACAAAAGCTATAGGCATGCATAAATGCTAACTTTAAATATTATCTTCGAAGTGCAAAAATAAAAAAAAATATATAATTCCATAAGCAATAGTTACCCATTTTCATGAAAGACATAATCAAAAATTATATATTATTTCTAATTTATTATTTGGATCTCCTAATATCATCTTTTGTATAAATTCTTTATTTCCATTGTCCACCACTCAAGCTGAAGAGAACTTTAAATATTCATTTACTTTTAATATGTGTGTGTATATTTAAATCTTTTTGATAGTATCATTTTTTGATTTTCAGTAGAGAATATTATTTGGAAGCATTAGAATCATAATCAATAAAATAAAAGGATGTGCTTCAATAGGTGTACATATTTTCATATTTTTTCTTTCTATATATACTTTCAATTAGCTATTGTATCCTCAAGTATTTTATTATAATTTCGGATTCTTAAATAAAAAGAAATATCTTCATTCTCTTACTTTCACATTATATTCAATATAATGTGAAAAACGCATTGTTGAACAACTATACTACAATACATACAACTAACTAACATTGTAATTCTTTAAAATAAAATCCTGATAGTTTCATACTTGTTGAACAAAAAATACTTTTTCTTTATCTTCTGTGGTTCCAGTTCTATCGGAGTAATAATTTCCAAGATTAAATTGTGCATCACTGTCTCCTCTTTCAGCCGATTTCAGGTACCACTGGAATGCTTTCCTTTCATCTTTTGAGGTTCCGATCCCATTGAGATAACAATTTCCAAGATCAGTCCAGTTCAATTGAATTTTATTTTAAAGGATCACAACAGATTGTACAAATGCAATTATAGTAATAGTAATATCATTTAACAAGGTTTCACATACATTACAATGTGCATTTTATTATTAATTTTAACAACAATTATGTAATCATTGTCAGAAATAACAGCTAAGCAGAATAAAGAAGCAACAAGACAATGTAGTTTTATTTCCTTTGTTTTCATTAAAAATACATAATCAAGATTTATTAAGATGCATGCATAATAAAAAAAAAACTATCACAAATGAAATTTTAAACAGAAAGTTCATTTATTGAGCCCAGTTAAATATGCATTAATTTTTTTTTTTTAATTTGGACAAATTCAACTGATTGGCACTTTATTACTTACCATTACTTTTATTGTTTGAATGTTATCTATTTTTATATTCGAAATTCTTTCTTTTCTCTCCATAAAAATTTTTGAAAATCTTGCTAATACTTCAAATGGTTGAATTCAATGTGCGGAGTGTGCGCTTGCACAAATTTGAAAACTTTGCGCATAAAAAGAAGCATCCGTACAAATTTTGCACATAAAATTATAAATACTTGTCATTACTTTTTATTGTTTCCTTCTTTAAAAAAGGTGATCATTCTTAATAAAATTAGTTTTGAAAATCTTGCTCATACTTCGAATGGTTGAATTCAATGTGTGGAGTGTGCGCTTGACAAATTTGAAAAGCATCCGTACAAATTTTGCACATAATTATACGTGTATTCCGTACATTATTTAATATTTGAATTCTAAACACTCTAAATAGTTGTTCCTTTAATACAATAAAAAAAATCCAAATGAAGAAACAACCTTCTATCTTCAAAAATGGAATTTAAAATTCTTTCGAAGTATATCTTTATTTGAAAATCAAATCAAAAATGATATAATGAATAAGTTAATTATTCAGAGATTTTTACCAAAAACAAATATTTGAATCCCCACGTGATATCAATATATTAAAATGTACAACAAGCAAAGCATTTAGTATGTGTTGCAAAGTCATCATAGCTAGTTACAATTTTTTATTCTCATCATAAGATGCCCAAATATGGAATACAATGTAATGCTCGCTTAGCGATACATATACTCATTATTTGCATATATTTAGTTTCTTTTCTTTTCTATTTTATATGTATGTTCATTGATCATTTGCTTTAAAAATTTTTTTTTTCAAAAAAAAAAAGTAATTTAAACCTGACATCTGCAATGCACAATGGCTTAGCTGGCTCGTTCTTTGTTGCTTTGATGTCATTTTTTGTTTATATATTTTAGTGGAACTTTCCGATATATCTTAGTGAAACTTCCGATATCTCAGTGGAGAAAATATGATGCGATGTGGGGTATGCAAGATATTGTACTCTTGAATCAAACCTGTTATTTCTCAAAAAGAAAAAATATATATATAATATATTAAATTTAGAAATATCATTTTTTTCTCCTCGAACTTAATTTTAAACAATATGTTCTTTAGTTTTCTTCATTTCTTTTATATTTTGGTCTGTGCAATTAAAGGTGAGAATAAATGTGTCATTGGCGTAAATTATGAAAATTTTTTAAGTGTAGTCATTGAAATATTCATTTTATTGTACTTTCTCTTTTAGTATTAGAATGATTAAAAAAAATTGATTGATTGAAAATTATTGTATTTTCTTCGAAAAAATAATCCAAGGAATTTTTTGTTTAAATGATTAAATGATTGACAACAAGCATATTTTTTTACATAATATTACATAATATTACTTAATTTATATTGACCCCTTTATAAATGGTTTGTTTCATTTATAACAATATTCGATTCTTTAATTACAAAGTTATATCTAATATAAAGTTTAAAAGTGGATATCATGTATTTATGCTTAAAATTCGCCAATTAAATAATATGTATTTGTGAAAGAAAATTCTTCAATAATTTTTTTTTGGTGTCTTTCCCCATCGAACACATATTCAGAACTTTGAGATCAAATTATTGTAAATTATTAAATTGTGATAATTTTAGAATAATTAATTTTTTTAATATACGAACTTTCCATGTAGATACTTTGATAGAAAATATATAATACATAGAATTAAATAAAAAAATTATATATTATGATTCCATTTTCTCAAAAAAGGTTAATTAGTTTTGAACTTTACTCATAAACCCTCAAATGTTCAAATCATTTTTTCCTCAAAAATCTTATATAAATGTTGGTGTTTTCCCCAAGTTGACGAACTGACAGAAAAGCAATTTACATTTTCTGTCTCTCTACGATGACAAACAACAACAATGTTAACCCTCCACCTCTTAATAATCCCAACAATAATCATTTAAATACTCCCGTTGTTGTGATTAATAATAACGTTAATCCTCCACCTCTTAATAATCCTAACAATAATCATTCAAATACTCCTGTTGTTGTGATTAATAACAATAACCTTACAACTTACGAGGAAATAATTCAAAATAGATTTTTGGATTTTTTATTTAATGGAGATTCTAATATTAATCAATCTTCTTCGGTGAGATTGGCTGATGTGAATCCGCAAAGAATAGATGCTTCATTTTTACAAAATGGAGGAGAATTCTAACAGAATTTTTATTATTTTATTTTATACATTCATTTACTATTTATTACTTATTTATTATTTGATTCATTGATTGAATCACTAATTTGATTCTTATTGAATCACCAATTGATTCTTGATTGAATCACCAATTTGATCCGTTGATTGAATCACCAATTTGATCCATCGTAGTGTTAATCATCAAATAATCGAAAATGACAATCGAAATAAAAAATGGCAAATCGACAAAAAATGGCAAAATCGACAAAAAATGACAAATCGAGTTTAATTATTATGTTTATTATTATTTGATATTATATTATTTATATGTATTAGTTTATCGTTAGATACTTTATCTTTTTCGCTTTATATATTTATAAAAGATATCGATCATGTTTTTCTATTATGGCTTTTTTTTATCAAAAGATTGTAGTACTTAAAATATCATGTGACTATCGAAGTTCGAGAAATTACCTTTTGTTGTAACATTTCTGGTTTTTTGGTTACTCAATTACGTACTATAGTATTTTGAGAAAAGGTTTAACTAATCGTATTTATTCTGTGACTCAATTCTATATATTTATATAATTTAATATTTTGTACCGAAGCAATTTTTATAAATTCAGGTAATTCAGATATAAATTTATTTATTGACATTATTAAAAAAAAATTCAAAATTTTACATTATATAATATAAGTGAATAAAATGTTATGCCCAGAATTCAATCAAGAATATGATGGTTGGTAGTGTAAACCGTGCAACTCGACGCATTTCAAAAATAATTTTGATAAATGGACGAGTGGGAATGATACAATTGATAAATTTATTCAAGATGCTCAACTAAATTCTGATACCGATTGGAAAGTAATAGAATTGGATACCTTATGATAGATTGGAAGGTATTAAATAAATAGCAAGAGGTGGTTTTAGTACTATTTATTATGTTAAGTGGATCGATGGACCAATTTTCAAATGGAATATTCGATGGATAAGACGTGATCAATATGAAGTGGTATTAAAAAGTTTGATGGTATTGGAAATGTACATAAAGACTTCTTAAATGAGGTAAAATAATATTCTAATTTAATTTGAAACTTTATTATAAAATTTATAATAATTAAAAAAATATTATTTAGATGTCCATTCACTTGAGCAATGGAAACGGAAGAATATTCATCAATCGAATTTTATGGAATTACAAAAGATCCAGAAACTCGCAAATATATGATGGTTTTAGAATATCTAATGGGCGGAAGTCTTAGAAATTATCTTTAATAATATTAAATGGTTTATTAAATTGGATTATTTAGGAGGTTTAGCAAGAAAATTTAAAGAAATTCATAAATTAGGCATAATTCATCACGATTTCCACCCTGGAAATGTTTTATTATTTGATTTTAGTGATTATTTATATATTTCAGATTTGGGCTAAGTAAATTAATTGGAAAAAATAGAGAAAATCCCCAAAAGAGAAATGCTTTTGGAGTATTGTCCTATATAACTCCTGAAGTATTAAGTGGCGAAGAATACACCAAGGCTGCTGATGTCTATTCATTTGCAATTATTACTTACGAAATAGTTACTGGTTATCCACCACAACCTGATGTGCCAGATGATGAAGAATTAGCTTTGAAAAATATGTAATGGATTACGACCGAAAATTCCATTTCATACTCCTCACGAATGATCATGTGATGTTAGGATGCTCGAGTTACCCATCGACCCTCTTTTGAAGAATTAAATGAAGAGTTGATTAGATACGACTATTATTATCCAAGAAACATTACTAGCGAAATTACAATTCAAATTAAAGAGGCTGAAGAATTTTCTAAAAATCAAATAGCAACCACAACTCCACTTGGTTACAAAACACATCCTCAAGCAATTTATACTAGTAGACTTCTCAATTTTTCAAATCTTCCAAAATCTGTAAATGATCCAAATTTTTAAAAAAAAACTTGAAGAACTAACAGAATCTTTTTCTCATATAATTACTACTTATATTATTTTACTCATTTTTTTTCATAACATAATTAATTATATTAATTTAATTTAATTTTTTTTTAGATGATGATATTGAAGATTTTTAAATATAATAAATATCATTATAAAAGTAGATTTAATTAACTTGGTTTGGAGTGATAATCTTTATATTTTCTAAAGTTACAATCTACATTTTGATATTTATTTTTAACGGCCATTACGTAATTATTGTCATAAATCAGGTAAACTTAATAGAGCAATGAGTTGCTCATTGTTTTCAATTAAAAATACCTAATCAATAAAAATAATAAAAATGCTCTTATAAATGAAATTTAAACAAAATATTCATTTAGTGAATCCAGCTAAATTTGCATTTATTTATTTCTTTAATTTCGACAAATTCAACCTATTATTACTTTTTAGATCTTGGCATAACTTTTTATTACTTGTCATTTTACTTTTTATTGCTTGGTTGTTAACTATTTCGTATCCGAAATTCCCTCACAAAAAAAAAAGGTTCATTTCTTAACAAAAAAATTAGTTTTTTGAAAATATTACTAAATATTTCAAATGGTTGCAGTGTTTAAAATTCAATGTCTCGAATGTCCGCTTTCACAAAATTTGAAAAAAAAAAACTTTGCAAATTTTGCACATGAAATTCTAATTTATATGTGCATTCTGTACACGTACATGATTTAAAATTTGAATTTTACACATTAAATGGTTGTTCCTTTAATACAATATAAAAAAAAAATTCAAATGAAAAGAGACCTTCTATCTTCAAAAATGAAATTTAAAATTCTTTTAAAGTATATCCTTATTTGATCCCCACGCGATATCAATATAACAAGCAAAGCATTTAGCATTTGTTGTCAAGCCGTGACATATATTTGTTATTATTTATTTACATTCTAAGATGTCCAGATGTGGAGTACAATGCTTGCTTAGCGATGCATATATTCACCATTTGCGTATATTTAGATTCCTTTTCCTGTGTTATGTGCGTTATTCGTGTATGTTTTGATCATTTGCTTTAAAAAAAAAATTTTTTTCAAAAAAGTAATTTAAATCTGACATTTGCAAAATGCGTTGATATTCTTGTTGTTTCTCAAAAGAGAAATTGGTATAGGGAATATCATTTTTTTTTGTTGAATGATATATTTTAGTGGAACTTTAAAGATATTTCCGATGTACTCTTGAACCAAAATCGGAATTTAATTTAATGGTGTAGTTGGCTCGTGGTTCCGTGCATTTCTCAAATTTAGTAAGAATTAATGATATCAGGATTCCTTTATTTCCTTTGCATGTCATTGGCGTACATTATGAAAAATTTTAAGCGTAATTCATTGAAATACTCATTTTTGCACTCGTGATAATCGAAATAATCTCTTATGATTAAAAAAAATGATCGAAGTTATTTTTGCTCAATGACTCATTTTGGACAAAAAAAAAAAAAAAAAAAAAGAAAACTCAATGATGTTATGTAATTTGTACTAAATTAATAATCTTAATTAATATTAATTTATATTTAATCCCTTCATGAATGTATAATAATGTTTTAATAATATTAATTCATTGTATGCCATGAAAAATGTTGTATTTAAATATCGCCAATTTTTCAACTACAAAAATTAATAATAATGTAAAGATTTAAATACCCCTGCGAATTATTTCATAATGAATATGTCATAAATAAAGTTGTGTTACTATTTTTTGCATGAAATAAATTAATTTATTTTAATTTGGTTAAATTTGATGATTAAATGAATTTTCTATATTTATATTAAGAATTTAAAATAATTTCTTTTGTTTTACTTTGTATTGTAATAATACTTGAAAGAAAATTCTTTATTAATTTTCTTCTGTCTTTGACTTGGTGTTTTTTTTTTTTTCATTGAACACATACTCAGAACTTTGGGATAAATCATTTGTAAATTATTATGATTTTTTGAATATATACGAACTTTCCATGCAGATACTTTGATAGAAAATCAATAATACATAGAATAAATAAGATTATAGATTATGATTTTATTTTCTCAAAAAGATTTATTAGTTTGAACTATATTCATAAACCCTAAAATATTCAAATTATTTTCTCAAAATCTTATATAAATGTTGGTGTAATTGACCGAACTGACATAAAGGTAATTTACATTTTCTGCCTCTCTAATATTATAAATATCCAAAATTACGATGACAAACAGCAACAACAATGTTAACCTTGATAATTCTAACAATAATCATTTAAATGCTCCAGTTGTTATGATTAACAACAATAACCTTATAACTTACGAGGAAATGATTAAAAATAGATTCTTGAATTTTTTATTTAATGGAGATTCTAATATTAATCAATCTTCTTCGGTGGGAGTGGCTAATGTGAATGCGCAACGACTAGATGCTTCATTTTTACAGAATGGAAGAGATTTAACCGCAAATTGAAATCTGTGCTTCCCGTGTTCCCTTATTAGATAAGTCTGTCAATTCTTAAAGTTTTTTTTAAAAAAAATTTATAAAATTTGGTTGAGATTAGAACGCTTTATTCAAATATTTAATAGAACTTTACAGAATTCAAATTTAATAAATCCGCCTATAATTAATTCAAACTCATATTTACATATGAAATCTATGTTTCCCCTATAGATAAGTAAAGACCTTTATATAACTCAAAGTTTTACAAATAATTACTAAACATTAACAATTATCAAAATTTTAACAAAGTTGAGAACAAACTATAATAGCATTTTTCGTTCAATAAAAGTAGCAGCTAAAATCTCAAAATTCATGTATACATACTTTAGATTATATTTTAACATATTCTATCATTAAAAGAATTAATTAAAAAATAGAAATATTTTTTATTTTAAGCTAATAACTTGAAAAAAAAAGGAAATTTCTTAAAATTACTTGAATTTTTATTGGTTTCAAAGTTAAATAACTTCATGAAAACAAATTTTAATACAAAAACCTGCGCCACCAAATAAATCATGTATTCTAAATATTTTTTTTTTCAAATTATTAAGTAAAAAAAGATTTTCAATTAAGTCTATCATTCTTATAACAGAGCGTAGGACATTTAATGTACGCGTAAGGTTACATTTTGATGCAGCAATAGGCAAAATATCAAAGACGTAACTTGGGAAAGGATGCTGTGATAATGATTATTAGATAATGATCACATGTTATAATATATATTATGCTCTGGTTTACCATTTCCTAGTAATATTCGTTTGATTGAATCATCAATTTTGATCCAAAATAAATCTTTAATTATTATGTTTATATTATTATTATGTGATATTCTATTATTCTTATGTATTAGTTTAATGTTAATCTAAGATATAGCTACTTAATCTTTTTCGCTTTACATATATTATAAAAGATATCGATCAAACATTACATTTTTGTCCAATGTTTTTTGATCATCATAAACTACCCAAATTCAGAAAAGGAAATATTGACAATAAAATTTTGCAAATCCTATTGTTAATATTTCCTTTTTGAATTTTGGTCGTCATGTAGGCATAGGCATACTTAAAATATCATATGACTATCGAAGTTGGTTATATGCTACTCAATTCTACATATTATATTTTACGATATAAATAAAAAAAATTATCATTCTGGTTTTTATTCTACACATTTTAATATTTTGCGAAATAAAAAAAAATTAAATTTTAAACCCATTCGTATCGAAGCAATTTTCATCAAAAACGTAAATTCAGAAAATCAGATAATTCAGATATTAATTTATTTATTTTTAAAAAAATAAATTTCTGCCTTAATTATTGTAAGTGAATAAAATGGTATGCCCAGAATGCAATCAAAATATAATGATGATTAGTGCAAACGGTGCAACTCAACACGTTTCAAAATGATTTTGATAAATGGACGAGTGAAAATGATATAATAGATAAATTTATTAAGATCCTCAACTAAATGCTGACGCCAGATGGAATGTAATAGAATGGATACCTTATGATAGATTTGAAGGTATTAAAGAAATAGCAAAAGGTGGGTTTGGTACTATTTATTATGTTAAGTGAGTCAATGGATATATTGAAAATTAGGATATTAAAAATGAACGATGGAAAAGATATGGTCAACTTGATGTGGTATTAAAAAAGTTTGATGGTATTGGAGATATGAATAAAGACTTCTTAAATGAGGTAAAATAATATTCTAATTTAATTTGAAACTTTATTATGAAATTTATAATAATTAAAAAATATATTTTTAGATGTTAATTTTTTGGAATTACAAAAGATCCAGAAACTTGCAAATATATGATGGTTTTAGAATATATAATGGGTGGAAATCTTTAAATAATAATTTTAATAATATTAGTTGAACTGATAAATTATCGTATTTAAGTAATTTAACAATAAATTTTAAAGGAATTAAATATAGTAAATCACCATGGGAATATTTTATCGCGTGATTTTAGTGATTATTTGTATATTTCAGATTTTGGGGTAAGTAAATTAATTGGAAAAATAGAGAAAATCCCCAAAAGAGAAATGTTTTTGGAGTATTGCCCTATATAGCTCCTGAAGTATTATGTGGGAAAGAATATACAATGGCTGCTGATGTCTATTCGTTTGCAATTATTGATTACGAAATAGTTACTGGTTATCCACCATATCCTGATGTGCCACATGATGAAGAATTAGCTTTGAAAATATGTAATGGATTACGACCGAAAATTCCATTTCTTACTCCTAAATTAATTACACAAGTGATTATGCGATGTTGGGATGCTCGAAGTACTCATCGACTTACTTATGAAGAATTATATAAAGAATTGGATAAATACTATCGGGATTATAATAATTATTATTTTTATGTTAAAGAAATTACAATTCAAATTAGAGAGGCTGAAGAATTTTCTAAAAATCAAATAGAAACCGATACAACAACCACAACTCCACTTAATTACAAACACAAGCAATTTATACTAGTAGACTTCTCAATTTTTCAAATCTTCCAAAACCTGTAAATGATCCAAATTTTGAAAAAAAACTTGAAGAACTAACAGAATCTTTTTCTCATATAATTACTAGTAAGCATCAATTATATATTTTATTTTACTCATTTTTTTTTCATAATTAATTATATTATATTAATTTTTAACGGATATTACGTAATTATTGTAAATCAAATTTTTATTGTTTTCAATTAAAAATACCTAATAAATAAAAATAATAAAAATACTCTTATAAATGAAATTTTAAACAAAAAGATTCATTTATTGAATCCAGTTAAATTTGCATTTATTTATTTATTTAATTTCGACAAATTCAACTTCATTACTTGTTATTTTTTATTTTATTTTAACCTTTTAGATCTTAGCATTACTTGTTATTACTTTTTATTACTTTTTATTGCTTTGCTTGTTATCTATTTCGTATCTGAAATTCACTCACAAAAACAAATTAGAATTGAAAATCTTACTAAAATATTTCAAATGGTTGCAGTGTTTAAAAATTCAATGTCAGGAATGTGTGCTTGCACAAAATTTGAAGCAACATCCGCATATTTATATGTGTATTCTGTACATGATTTAAAATTTGAAGAAACAATCAAAAATGAAATTTAAAAATTCTTTAACCCACGTGATATCAATATTTAAAAAGCAAAAAAGCAATATTTGTTAAAATTTTTATTTATATACATCATAAGATTAACGATGCATATATTCATCATTTGCGTTATTTTGATCATTTGCTTAAAAATTTTTTTTTTTAAAAAAAAGTAATTTAAACCTGACACCTGCAAAATACGCAATGACGTACTAATTCATTCTTAGTTGCGTTGATATTCTTGTTGTTTCTCAAAAAGAAAACTATATATACAAAAATATTCAAATTTAGTAAGAATTTTATTAATTGATATAGGGAATATCATTTTCTTTGTTGAATGATGATATATTTTAGTGAAACTTTAAAGATATTTCCTAGTGGTAATGAAAATATGTTTTATGCAAGATATTGTACTCTTAAACCAAAACCTGAATTTAATTTAAACAAATGCATAATGATGTAGATTGTTTTGTGCATTTCTCAAATTTAGTAAGAATTAACGAAGGATGATACGATGAGCAGCACAGCTGTTCTTTTTTGTTTTCCTTTATTTCTTTTATACCTTGGTCTGTGCAATTAAAATACAAGAACATGCATATGTCATTAACGTACACTCCCCGGCCAAAAGTATCCGACCACTTAAAAATTATTAAAAATATTTTTAAAATTCAAATGTTAATTGTGG